GTGGATTATCTGTTCAACTTGCTGAATATTAAACAGAATGAAAATGAAATGCAATTATCATAGAAAAACTGATGGGTAAATATTATGTTTGACAATAAAAAGGTAATGCAAACTCTGACAAGTAGATAAGTTGGTATATACAGTATATCACACCATAACTTTTGAAACCATTTATTTTATTTCAAACAGGGCTCTTTTATAAGGCCACACTCCCTCTGAATGTATTAACAATACAAATACTGCAAAACAAATGCTGTTGCATACATTAAAAAAACAAAAGAAGTTATTTTTATACATTTTCCTCAACATGCAAATACCAAATTTAAATTAAAATGTAAACTATAACGTAAATTTTAGCAGCACATCTATAGAAGTTTACTCTGCTTCAGTCTTAAACTGTTTAAAAAAATGACTAATAGTAATAAAGTGCAGTAAATTTCAGTTCTAACTTAAATGGAACAACTAAAACAAAATCTGAGAAGAACCACAGTGAAAAATAAAATGCTTTTACAACAAATTTCCTTCCATATTCTGCTTATGTCTTAGTTTGTTCTACAAGAAAGAAAAAAAAAACAGCATTGAAGTTACTGCAACAACTGCTGCATATTTTGCTGTTTATGAAGGCTACTGCTAGCAGCAGCAAACTCTTTGAATTCTTTGTCATGTCCTGTCCTCAAATGTTTAATCAAATTGCTGCTGTTAAAACATCCAACTTTTGCMCCTCCCCTTGACAGTTTAGCAGAGCACAGCAGACAGTCTGCTTGTTTGGTGTCCTCCGTGCCGATCTTAATCTCCAAACTACCGATATGTTACTTCTTCTTCTACCGTCATCATTCTTCTTCTGTTATTCGGGGGTGCGGTCGGAAATAACTTGTCAGTGCGTTAGCGCCACCGCCTGGTATGGATTGTTGTTTACTCTTTGTGCTGCAGCGCAGCACAGGAGGGGACAAAAGTGGTATCGGTTAAGAGTATCGGCCGGCTTTTACGAGTACGAGTATGAGTACTTGATGCTGGTATCGGACCCGATACCGATACCAGTATCGGTATCGGGTCACCCCTAATATATATATACATTCTCAATATACCTACCATATTTATTCATGTATAATACGATCATAATTTTTGAGCTTAAAAAACAATAAAAATCTAATTATCAATAACCTGTGTATAATATTATCCCCAACTTTATGGATGATTATTAGGGTTAAATTTCTAGTATTATACATGAATAAATGCAGTAGATATTTGTTTTATTTAAAATATTTGACTTTATTTAAATTTGAAGATGTGATTTGGTCACGTTCTAATAGGTTGTGCATGCCATGAGGTGTGTAGAAGTGTCATCATCCAGTGTGAAGGGAGCCTTACAAAAAACTGGTACAAGTGTTTAAAAAGTGAGTTTAGCAGATGATTCCAAAAGGTTGAATGCATTTGTGGACATATCACACTGAATGAGTTAATAGGCTGGTTCTTACTCTGAATYTTTATTCATGTGTTCATAACTCCAATATATCAATTGCACATAAATGGTCATTTATTTAACATTTTAACATTTGCTTGCATTTTGAAAAATACAGATTTTCTGACACAGAAATCTACATACAGTATAAGGTTTATATAGAAATATTATTATTCTTAACATTTTTTTGTTCTTTTTGTTCTAGGTCTAAACTCTAAGGGATCTGTGTCTCCAGTTCCATTAACCATTTTTAATCACATGTTTTGTACATTTTCTTTGTTTTTTCACCTACTGACTACTTACCACTAAAGAATGGATATTAAGATATAGCATATTTTTATTTCTTTTTATTGTTAGATTTATCAAATAATGAACAAGGACATGTTTTTAGCTGCTGTTTTCCAAAGCAAAACCTAAAATTGAATGTAGGAACTTTTTGGAGAGACTGTCAGATGCCAACAGAGAGGTGTTCACAGACACCTGCACAAAAACATGTTTTCCTGCAGGGCTGCACCCCTGCAGCAAGCATAAATTTGTCAAACATGAAAAAAAAGACTTTCTTTTACTGATGAATGAACTTGAACAGGTTTATGCCCCAGTTTTCTCTTTCCTTTCCTTTTGCTTTCATGTTGTCCCAGCACCCAACTGCTTTTTTTGCTTTTTACATTGTGAACCTGGTTACTTTTGCACAAATTTGACTTTTCCCACTTGCGTGGGGAGATTCAATCTCCCTCTTTTTTTGGTTTTCTGTGTGGATTTCTTAATGCTTAACTCTTGTTTCTGAAAATGTGTGATTTCTCACAGAGTCAAATGTTAATGTGTAACTGTTGTCATGTCTATTGTCTTACACTGATGTTACTGACATCCTGATATGATTGTGGTARTGATTTTCACAAAATGTCAGATACAAATACAGAATGTCAAGATGTCAGCATGATGTTATTGTAGGGATCAAACAGTTTACAGATGGGATATATGACCAGATACATGTATTCAACAGCAGCTCCACACTCATAGATACTCAAATTATTTGTATGTATTTTTTATCCACTTTTTATTGAAAAATCCCACATTGAACTAATTTTTTTCTTCTAAATCAGTTTTTACTTAATGTTTCACAGTTTATATTATTGTTTTAGAAACCAGCAATAGCTTAGTAACTTAAGGGAAAACAATAAACAAAGTACACCTTYTTTCAATTCTAGCTTTTCAAATATCAGAAGAAACAGTATTATTAGTAAGTATTATCTATACCGTATTGGGTTACTGTTATTCAAATCTACCCTTAGGTGTACAAACAACAAATTCCATCATGTCATTTGTTAAACAAAAATAAAGCTTTCACAGGGAAATTAGTCACCAGTAGCTGCTGATCAAATGTATTGAAATAACTGATAAACATCAGTGGGACTGTCCTGATGCATCTCAGTAATCCAGGTAAAAAATCAAAAAGAAAAAAAAATGTATAGGTCTTCTGGACGAGTTCTTCTCTAATGAAAAGTTTCGTCTCTCCTCCAAGAG